CACTCAAAATCCAGATTTTAATCAAAAAAACTCAACCAAAGTTTACCCATGAAGCTATGGAGAGGGGAAATGTTCACTGAAAAGTTAAATTAACTATGATAGACAACTTAGTTTTATTACTGCCATTTTGAAAGGTGCCTAAGGAAGAGAGCAAGGTAATGAAAATGCTTTGTGTATGTTTAATTAATAACCATCAATCTGAATTAATGTGGAATTAAATTTGATCTGTTAAGTCATGAAAACATGAAGTTGATTGAAGCCATGGTGAGATTCTGTTTTCGATGATATGTGTGAATTTTAATTCAGGGTTGGTTGTTTTGACATCGTTTTAATATTTAGTAATGTTAATTGAAATTTGGGGTGATTCTAGTTTTTATTCCATGTGATTGCATCAAAAATCTTGGGTTGGAAATCTCCTTATAGAAGTCAAAAGTTTGGAAAACTGCAAGACAAATTTGAGGTTTCAAACTGATTGATATGTTTTAACAAATTAACCAATTTCACATATGGATTCTTTGCTTTTTCTGTTTAAAACAAAATGACCAACATTTCCAGATCACTTGACATGCAGAAAGTAATAAGGTCAGCAGGCATTCAACCTCACAGCATGGTGACAATTTCAACTACTGGATTGCCTTTCAAAGATGTGGCTTGACTTTAGAAATTAAAAGCTCATAAATCACTCTAATGAGAAGTTGAATATCAGACTTAATGAGCAGAATAAGTTAATTTTGAAAAATAAAAAGGTTGTTTAACATAAAGAACAGACAAATAGCATGTTAATGTCTATATCAAGTGCAAATATTCGATTTTCATTTACAAATGTTATAAGAATGTTGTATTGGGCTGTATGGTTTCTTCAGAATTATAGAACACAGAACTGTACAGCACCGGAACGGGCCCTTTGGCCCACAATGAAATTTCTGAAATGAGATAGCCTGGTTACTAATGAAATGTGTAACATCAAGTGACAGGAAGTGACTGTGGATTAGACAGAGTCAGGAAAATCACAATGCCAAATATGATTCGAAAAATATCACCTAGATACAATTCAACAAAAGATTTTCCTTTTTGCTTTCTCTTGTTCTACTTTTGGCAAGTAAACAAGTTTAAAGGCTGCAAAGCCACATTGAAAAGAACCCAACCTGAATTTGCGTGCTGGGACTAAGTGACTGTTAAGTCTGATATCCTTGATGTCATCCTGACCTTACTCCCCTTCATCCCCAAAGCATTGTTACAAAGTAAGCTAAAGGGAGATCCCACTGGTTTCCAAGATGCAGTTTTAAAAATACTTCTAAAAAAATGTCTTGCCGCATTAAAAAAGTTTAAAGAATACTATAAAAATTTTCTTTATAAGGCATAAACATTACAAACCAAAATAAACAAACAAACATTAAATAAACAAGCTTCTATAAGCTGATGTATAACAAAACATTCATACATAAAATACACACAACTTTAAGTTAGTAACAAAATTATGAACACTTTTGTCTGGGTTCACAAATTTGCCTGACCTTTCATTCCTGCACTATGTTAAAATCACACTTGGCCTCGAATGCTTGAACAAAGTCACAGGAGGTTCATTTACACCTTGCACAATTTCATCGATATCAACTCAGGTAATGTCTCATATATGCACGTTAAATCTCCAGGTATGCTTTTACAGAGTTCCCCGTCTGCAATCCTACTTTCAAAGATATATGTAATTGTACAAAGATCCTGTGTTCCTTTGCTCCAACAATTATTTCAATGTAAACATGATAGATTTGTTCTCTTTATCAAAAATATCTGCTTCACCTTCTGAATTCCATTTGTCATGTGACCATGTTCTTCTGCAGTATAATATCCTGCTTTCTTCCTCAGATTGGCATAGAATCATACAACATTTAACCACTGGAGGTGGTAATTCAGTCCAGTTTGTTTAACCTTCTCTAGAAGAACAACCTAGTTTGTCTAGTATAAGAATATAACTGAAATCTTTCATTCCTCACAATATCTAGTAAATAGCTTCTGCGTCCCCATCTGTAGCCTAAACATTTTTCTCAAAGTGTGATGTCCAGTTCTTAGACACAATATTCTGTATGGCCATGACCAGTGTTTTACAGGGAGATTAGAATAACTTCTGTGCTTCTATGCCTCTGGTTATAAAGCCAAGTATCATACACACCTTTTTAACAGCCTTCTCAATTTGTCCTTGCACTTTCAATGACCTATACACATACACTGAAAGTTTCTTAGTTCTTGCACTCCCTTTAAATTGTACTTGTAATTTTGCCTCTACTCATCTTCCTACCAAAACTAATCACATGACATTTCTCCGCTTACATTTTGTGCTTGCATTTCACCAGTCTGTCCATTTCCTCCTTGAAGTCTGTTACCATTCTCCTCACAGTTTATTACATTTTCAAATTTTGTATGACGTGCTGATTTTAACATTTTATCCTGTATGTCCAAGTCCGGATTTTGAATATTTATTTAACAAACAGTGGTTCTAACACCAGTTCTGGGGAACACAGATTTGTTATAGCACAGAAGGTGGCCATCTGGTTCAATTATTATTATTTTTACTACTACCTAGTGCCAATCTTCTACCTTTTCCCCATATCCATGCATACCATTTCTACCTAAATAATGATCCAACACCCTCTTCAATGCCTCAATCAAACCTGCCTCAATCAAACCACATTTCCAGGCAGTGCGTTCCATGCCCTAACTACATATTGTGTGGAAAAACTTTTTTTCTCACATCACCCTTGCATTGTTTGCACATCACTTTAAACCTGTACCTCTCACTCTTTTTTTTCTTTTAGGAGCAGGAACAGCTTCTCCCAATCTACTCTGTACACCATTATATACTTTCCTCCAGATTGAAAAGCAATTATCCACCAGCATTTCCTGCTTTCCTTTTTCATGATGCTTATATGTCACTTCATCAAATATTTCTTGGAAATACAGATATAATGCAACAACTGTATTCCATTATCTATATTTATGACTGTATCTCAGTTGGCAGCACTCATAACAAGGTGGTTTTGTGTTGAAAACACATTTCACTGACTTGAACACAGAAACCTAGTTCCATATTCCATTTTAGCACTGAAGGAGTGCCATACCATTGCAGAAGAGGTCTTTTGGACAAGTTATTGAACTGAGACCTAACCTATCTGTTCAAGTAAATACAAAAGACCATGTCACCATTTCAAAGATGAGCAGAAGAGATATTTCCAGCATCCTAGCAAATTCCTAATACTCAACCAACAACGCAAAAACATATTATCTAGACATCACATTGCAGTTTTTGGGAATTTGCTGTGCACACACAAATTGTCTATCATGTTTCCTACACAACAACTAAAGTATTTCATTGATTAGGAAGTGCTTCAGGGGATGTCTAAAGGTCTTGAAAAGCACTGCAGCAACATCCATCATCCTGAAAATCCACCACTGAACAGCTAGTTTAGACATTGGGAATTCTGCAGTGAATAACTCACTTCCTGACACTCCAAGCTCTACTATATTCCCATTATACCCCTGATGACCCAACTTCGCTTGATGGCTCCCACAAAAGCTGGCACTGTCATTTGTTCTCTTCAGGTACTGTTCCCCGTTGTTCAAATATGCCTCCAACATCCCTCACCATAAAAAAAAACTTTCTCCTGCAACTCTCCAAATTACTGTCCCATTTCCAACCTCCCTTTCCTGTCCAAAGTCATTGAACTTGTTGGCAATCCTACAACTCAGCATTCAAAACTTTTAAACCAAGCTTCCATTCTGATACAGTACAGATTTTGAAACAGATTTTGTTTTTAAATCAACTTCTTCAAACATGTTACGACACAACTGCAGTGAGTTGAACTCAGGTCTTCTGGCCCAGAGATAAAGTCACTACCAATGTCACAAGGTCCCTTGAAACAGTTTTTATGATGCAATTTTTAACTTTGCTATGTGAATGTAACAAAGGTAACATAACCCTCCTTGTCCACGCTTTTGTTACCTTGAGATTTTACTATTTCAATGCGTATCTGGTTGGTCTCGCGAGCTCTTCCTTTCATTATCTTGGGATCATGAAAAACTCTACTACCCTTATCCTAACTCACATCAAGTCCCATTCAATCACCACTCCTGTATTCACTGTGCCCCATATTGGTTCCCTCTTAATAAACACCACAATTTTAATATTCTCATTCTTGTTTCCAAATCAATTCACTGACTTGCTCCTTCCTGACTGTAATATCATCCAGCCCTCTAAATTCCCAATATTTGCACTGCTCAAACTCCAGCCTCAGCATTTCCAAGTACAATTGCTCTAGTGTTGCAGTAGCTTCAACTGTCGGAGACCTTAGCTCTGGAACTACCATCATTAATGCATCTCATCCTGTCTTTAAGATGCTCATGATCATGCATTTGGCAATCTGTTCAAATATATATCCCTGTACGACTTGTGTAAACTTTTGTTTTAGAACACTCTTGGGAAGCTCCTCAGTTTTCACCTAGAGGTGCTTTATAAATACAGGTTGCTGCTGTTGTAAGATGGGGGATTTTGTAAAAATTAAATTTAACAAAAATTATTACTCTCAATGGATGATACCTCCAAATGCTATTTTCCTCCGTCTGCATTTTGCATTCTGTCCATGATCTGGCATTGAATTAAATATTCTAAATTGTTCGTTGAGTTCTGTGCTGCTCAACCTTAGTGATTATCCATAATCTTAGTGATTATGGATTTTCAGTTGTTCTGTTTACACTGGTTGTGTAGAAAGCAGTGCATTTGATGACATTCTGCTCACATAGAGTTCTGACGTCAAATCCTGAAAGTCTGTGCACAGGTGCAAATAATTGCCCTTTGAGCAGTATGACCATAAAAGATGACCCTGTAATAAGGCAAATGTAAATGTACTTTTAAACAATATTGCAATATCTGTGGATATAGCTGCATAGCTAATGAATCTTTTACAATTCCGCAGAAATTGTAATTAAAGCTTTAAAAGCTGAAAGCTTACCTCCGAGAAAAAGCCATGCACAATGGCGATAGGCAGTCATACAATGGGCACTCCTGGGCATTGGGACTGTAACCTGCCTGTAATAACATTTTTAAGCACTTTTGCTGTCCTCCATACACTGCTGAATAGACTGGGCTCACTTTATTCCTCCCTGTATCACATATTCGATCTGTGATTGGTATCAAGAATTCCAACACTCTGCCAAAAATCCATATACATCATGAAATGAATTTTCATTCATACACGTCAGAAACACAACAAATGTTTTTGGTTCTTACCTTGCAATATAAATAGTGCAAGACTTTGAATGCTAATGCAACCAACATAATGTATACAAATTAATTTCAATCAATTTTGAAAAAAAACACAAGCCATAAAAGATTGGGCGAGATCTCTTGCAAGCGGATTTAAGATCATTGTTTTTGTTGAGGCTACTTAGGAGAACCATTTAGGTATTTTAGCAGGTATAGTCGCTGTAGCAATGAATGTCAATAAAATATCAAGTGGAAAAGCACAGATAGCAATCTAGAATTGAAAAATAATTACATCCTCAAAGGTCAACAATTTCAGAACAATCCAGACAATGTGAAAGCAGGTAGTTACAAGGTCTTTGTAATATAAGCAATATGCATATGCAACATTTTTTCTACTTTACTGCAAGGAAAATATATGTCGGAGTCTGAGGACAAAAACCATATGCTGAAAGCACAAAGTCTGGAGACATATTTCCAGGCAGGGTGGAGGGTGTTGCTCCTCTGGAAAATTCTGAATATTCAAATTATAAAAAATACATTATTTAAAATATTATTTTAAAAACATAGGAGAAGTAAGTTCGCTGCAATGTTAATTCTACTTTATGATCATGAATTCCATTTTGGTCAACTTTGGTACACACGGAGTATCAATTTCAAAAATAAATTTTCTAATTACAACTTACTCAAAATATGTGTCAGAATACTTACTTGACCTTCCCCATCTGGGCAGCAGCATGAATTGGCAACTGCCAATCGTCTTCACTACAATAAAGGTTTGCATCAGCACTATTTGACAACAGCAGTTCAACACATTCTACGTGGCCTTCCTGAGCTGCTATGAACAAAGGTGTGGCCTTATCAAAGGCCTGGCAATTAACATCACTCCCTGCAAAATAAATTTAACAGTCTGGTTCATTGCAAATTCAGTTGAAGTCTCATAGATTGAGAAGAGTTGTAATATTTCATACACAATAGTCTTCTAATAAAGTACAAGCAAATTATTTAGTTACTAAGCATCTAAGCATTTTCACCATTATTTCATAATTAGACATAAAATAATCTTAATGAATCTGTATGACAGAAGAAATTTATCCAAATGTTCAATCTAACAAGGCTCAATTTGTATGCAAATAATTTTTATAAAAGCAGCATTAATAATATGGATGGAATATGTTGTATGACAGCAAATCTACTTCTTTTACAGTTCAGTTTTTTTGCATGCGCTATAAATGAGAACAGCTCTGGATTTCATGTTTCAGGAACATCTGCCTCTTGCATAAATGCTTTTATTACATGCAAATTCTATGCCAATCTACTTCCAGAGCAGATAATGTTAATGGGGAAGACGGAATCCAAACTATTTGCCAGACATCAGCTGTAGGTTACTTTATTGATATAGATATGAAATATGGTATCCATACAGATTTCCATCTTTCAGCTTCTAAAATTGTTGATGCTAATGTTTTGAAACTCTTAACGATATGTTCTATAATCGCAGTTGAAAAACAGCAGATAAAGATTTTTTTAAAAACTAAATCAACAGCTTGTGATCCAAATTCATCAGCAAAAGTTAGTTCACCTCGTTTTTTTCTGACATATTACAATAGGAAGGATGTTGTTACACTTGAGAGGGTGCAGAAAAGATTTACAAGGATGTTGCTGGGACTGGAGGGTTTAAGCTACAGGGAGAGGCTGAATAGAATAGGGCATTTTTTTTCCCCTGGAGCGTCAGAGACTAAGGGGTGAACTCATAGAGGTTTATAAAATCATAAGGGGTATGGATAAGCTGAATAGTCAAGGTCTTTTTCCTAGGGCGGTGGTGTCCAAAACTAGAGGGCATAGGTTTACAGTGAGAGGGAAAAGATTTAAAAATGACCTGAGGAGTAAAGTTTTCACACAGAGGGTAGCGTGTGTCTGGAATGAGCTACCAGAGGAAATGGTGGAGGTGAGTACAATTACAACACTTAAAAGGCATCTGGATGGGTACATGAATAGGAATGGTTTAGAGGGATATGGACCAAATGCTAGCAAATGGGACTAGATTGGGACGTCTGGTCAGCGTGGACAAGTTGGACCAAAGGGTCTGTTTCCGTGCTGTATGACTCTATGACTCTATCAAACAATTTAATCAGATAAAACCAAGAGAATTAGGTAGCATTCAAGTGAAAAAGCCTGCTGCTCCAAACTATACAAGGAAAGAAGCAGCTCATGCATTGATTAAACGCCAAAACGTTTAATCAGAAAAACAGGAGCAATAATTTGCCAAGGAAACCCTGTACCAGTTGAAATAGTTACTATATAGTATCTTGCCCAGTTATTTATCAATAATAATATTCTATCTAAAGTAGTACAATGGAAGAACCTGTTTTCAAGGTCAACTAATTAGAGAAACATGGCATTTAATAAAATTGCTTTATTCTCACTGGTTATCTCAGTTTCAGAACATTAGTGGTACTTTGTTATGGAAGAAATACTCAAGTAATAACACCTCTGAACAGGTTGATTAGAAAATATCCACACTGAGTAACTTCTGTAGAAAAGCCCCAAGATGGCTGGCCTCAAACAAACACAAATATGTTCCCTAGCAGAAACAAACTTAAGGCTTGAGTTGTAAACGTGGAAGAATTGTGTGAGAAGTCAGATGAGGCTATTCCTAATGGTGTAATAACTTATTGCATTTTCACATGGATTTCTGGCTGTTGCAATGAGATTCTCACTGGGGAATACTACTTGTTAATAGCCTCATGAACATGCAGCTTCCTATTCTGCCACTCACTGTGGGCAAACTAGACATCAACAATTACCAACATGAAAGTCAGATCAGATACTTGGTGACTTCAGGTTGCCATTTGCTCCTCCAGACTGCTACCTTGGACACCTGGCAACATGTCAGGGCATAGGCCATATGCACCCCATGTCCATGGGGACAGGCATCCGACAACTACCAGAACCTTCATGGCATTGCTCTGATCCACTTCTGCACTTTAAAGCTGCATTGAGGGGTGCTCCCGCCACTAGCCTTCGAATGTTGCCGCAGGGAAACTTTGCACGCAGGGACTAGTACAGGTTGGGAGAACTGACTGCATGTCACAGCTCCTCGCGTGCTCTCACATACTCATTCACTTTACACCTACCCTGGATGGTTGTAGCATCCCTGCCTTGCTTACGCTTGCCTTGGCATGTCATGTCTTTTCGCACATTGGCACTTCAGCCTGAGCCTTGCTGCTCACAGTACTGCGGTGCTGTCCTGCTGCTTCATGCACACATTGAGCCACACAGCTCACTGTGCTTGTCATGAGTGATCAGTTCAGAAGGTGGACATCTTGCTGTACGGCACAATAAAACATCAATCTCTCATCCACAGCAGGTGCCAGTTGCCTAGGCAACAAAACACTGCATGATTTTTCATCCAAGTGGACCATGCCTCATTGTTTATTGCAAGTAGTCCTTCATGAAGTCAAGGAGGGCTGCTGACACTCAGGGAGTCTCAGGAACATCGGTTAAAGGCAGAGTCCTCATACAATCCAGGGGCTTTGCCACAGTTATTTGTCCTCATTGGATGGTCACTGTCAGGTGATATCTGATTAAACTCCGGGCAGTAGGCTACACTCAATCCTAAAGAGCCATCGCAAGCAGTCAGGGGGAAATCATGCTTCATCAGTCAAGGAATTGCAAGGGCAACAGTCAGTTGCCTCATCAGTCTTTCCTGGGGCTGTCCATCAAAGTCGGTCATTGAGCTAGATAGCAGTCTGTTCTTGGAGGAGTCTGTACCTTGAGCAGTAGAGAGAAGAGATGCAGTGGTAGGGGTGGATGCTCCGTAGTGACAGCAGATGGAGGTAAAGAAGAAAGCTGTAGTGGGAGACTGACCAGTGACCACCACAATTATTTCCATAGTGGGGTAGGGTACAGGACCCCAGTGGACATCAGTTCAGTGTAATGTTGGGGCTCAAGGGCAAAAAGAGTAAAGCTGGAGGTGGAGCCCTATGTGGTGAGCTTCTACATTTTGTGGGGAGAGAAGAGAGAAATTGGATAGAAATGGACTATCTGCCTGAAGCAAGATAAAAAGGTTACCATAAGACCTCAAGTTATTGGAGCAGAATTACACCATTTGGCCCATTGAGTCTGCTCCATCACACAATCATGCCTGATATGTTTTTCAACTCCATTCTCCTGCCTTCTTCCTGTAACTTTTGATCCTGTTACTAATCAAGATCCTACCTATCTCTACCTTAAAGATACTCAATGACTTGGTCTCCATAGCCTTCTGTGGCAATGAGTTCCACAGATTCACCACCCTCTTGGCTGAAGAAATTCTTCCTCATCTCAATTCTAATGGGTTGTCCTTTCATTCTGAGACTGCGCCCTCAAGTCCTAGTCTCTCTGACTAGTGGAAACATCTTCTCAATGTCCATTCTATCCAGGCCTCTTAGTATTCTGTAAGTTTCAATCAGACTCCCCCCTTCATCATTTGAAACTCCATTGAGTACAGGCCCAAAGTCCTCAACCGCTCCTCACGTGACACGTCCTTTAATCCTGGGATCATTTTTGTATACCTTTTCTGGATGACCTCCAACACCAGTACATCCTTCTTTAGATACAGGGCCCAAAAGTGCTCACAACATTTCAAATGTGGTCTGACCATAGCCTTTTATAGCCTCAGCCGTACATGCCTGCTTTTGCACTCTAACTCTCTTGAAAAAAATGCTAACATTGCATTTGCCTTCCTAACTGCCAGCTGAAACTGCATGTTAACTTTAAGGGAATCCTGAACTAGGACTCGCAAGTCCCTTGTGCTTCAGATTTCCAAAGCCTTTCCCCATGAAGAAAACGGTCCTACCAAAGTGCAGAACCTCACACTTTCCCACATTGTATTCCATCTGTCACTTCTTAACCCACACTCCTAGCCTGCCCAAGTCCTTCGGCAGCCTCTCCACCACCTCAATACTATCTGTCCCTCTATCTTTGTGCCACCTGCAAACTCAGCAACAATGCCCTCAGTTCCTTCATCCAGATAGTTAATGTATAACTGGAATAGTGGTCCCAACACTGACACCGGTGGAAATCTAATAGTCACCGGCTGCCATCCTAAAGAGACCCCTTTATCCCCACTCTCTGCCTTCTGTCAGTCAGCCAATCCTCCATCCTTGCCGGAACCTTGTCCCTAACACCACACTCTCTTATTTAGTTAGTAGCCTCTAGTGCTGCAACTTATCAAAGGCCTTCTGGAAATCCAAATACATCACATCCACTGGCTCTCCTTTGTCTAGCTTGCTTGTTATCTTCTCAAAGAATTCTAATAGATTTGTCAGGCATGCCCTTACCTTGACAAAGCCATGCTGACTCAGCCCTATTTTACTATGCACTTCCAAGTAATCTGCCATCTCATCCTTAATAATGGACTCCAAAATCTTACCAATGTCTAAGGTGAGGCTAACTAGCCTATAGTTTCCAGTATTCTTTCTTCCTCCCTCCCTTCTTAAATAGGGGTGTTACATTAGTCATTTTCTAGTCCTCTGGGACCATCCCAGACTCTGGTCATTCCTGAAAGATCACCACCAATGCCTCTACAGTCACCTCATTATTTCCTTCAGGAATCTGGGGTGAAGTCCTTCGAGGGTCTGGGTGATTTATCCATCCTCAGATCTTTCAGCTTCCCCAGCACCTTCTCCTTAATGATGGATACTCCACTCACCTCTGCCCCCTCGGTCTTGAAGTTCTGGTGTCTTACACTATGAAGACTGACGCAAAGTACCTATTCAGTTCTTGTGTCATTTCTTTGTTCCCAATTACTACATTTCCAACCTCATTTTCCAGCAGTCCAATGTTCACTCTTGCCTCTCTCTTACCTTTCATATATCTATAAAATCTCTTGCAATCTTCTTTTAT